GGATGGCGCAGCACCGCACCGGCCCTGGGAGGAGCGTGACCCGCAGGGTACACAGACGCTGCTCGGGAACGGCAGTTGTGCCCGACAGTGGCAAACACAAGAAGCCGAAAATGTAACTTGTAACTTACCGTGAAAGACACCATTGTCCACCAAGAAGTGCCTGCAGTACTGCAGGCAGCCCCGCTTATCCAGACTCCAGTAACTCATTGTGAGATGACTTTCTGCTCACCATCAAAGGCAGTGACCCTACAAAATGAAACAGAATATGGATAATTATGAGTTAATTTACAAGAAATGCATAACAAACGCAAGCACTATTAAAAAAAAAAAAAAAAAAAGGTATTCATTGGAGCCCTTTATGCCAAATAGTTCATTAGTTTCACACAAAGTATAGTCCTTCACTCTCCGAAGATGCCTGTCTCCACGGACAGGAGGCAAAGGGTGGATCGCTTGGGCTGAGCTGGAGGCAGACTGCCAGCAATGCTCACAACCAGCAAGTTGAAGGCTGCCGGAGCGAGCCCACCTGCGAGCCCACCCTACCCGGCAGCCTCAGCACCCACCATGGGCAGCTGTAGTCACAGCCAACCCCCACAGCCCTCGCAGGCTATTGTGGAGCCACTGAGAGAGGATCAATTAAATCTATTTCATGATGCTGTCCCACAGTTAATAAACTACAGACACATCAGACAACACCACAAAACTGTAAATTCTCCCCAGGGAAGGTGAAAAGGAAAAAAAAAAAAAAAAAAAAAAAAATGAAAGGTAATTAATTGCCTCCCGATTTTGAGACCACAGAGTAGCATTACGTAGATGCAGAGCAACCTCAGCACTCCCCTGGCAGCTCGAGGTGAACTCTCCTGTGGACGGGCAGTTTGAGCAGGAGGTGTAGTTATGTCAGCCATGCAAAATTTGTGTCCTCCAGCGCCCAGGGATCCCAGCTTTGCACGGGGAAGAGATGCTCTCAACTCAGAACATCAGTGCTACCCTATGCTGAAGCATGGGATAAATTGTCAATCTGCTTTACCATCTTTTCTGCTTCCCCTGCCTCCATTACTGTCCCATTACACAGCTAATCACCAACGGGGCCAAACAGAACAAGTGGGAAAATGCCACCAGCTGAGGACACCCCAGGGCACCCAGGAGCCTTGATGGCTACCTGAACCAACAGTCTTTTTCAGAGGGCAGAAGCCCACATTGCTGTATGGGAAGAAGCTTGGGATTCATCTCTGAAGCACTGCACTCCTTCCAGAAGCACACTGCAGAGAACTTCCCAGGAGAATACAGCAACCCCTCCATGCAGGGGTCTGTGCCGGCCCTGCCTTCCCTGCTCGCCTGCCAGGGCTGAGGCCCCCAGCACTGTCACAGGCCGAGTTTTGCCTCTAACGCCAGCAGCAGCAGGGACAAGCCCATCAAACTGTTCACGGGTAATTTGTCGCAGATGCTATCACCAATAAGTGCTAGGAGTGGAGAGCAGCCTTTTTGGACACAGGCCCCAGAGCTCTGCTAGGCCAACCCCCTGACTGCCAATTCTTCTTGGATCCAGCCAATAATATTTATAAACCAGTGAAAATGGAAATGCAGAGCAAGCCATCACGGAACAAAAACCAGCCAAGGGCGGGGAAGGCGAGTGGCTGAAGCCAATCGCTGACAATGAGGTGAGAAACAACCCCCCTTCAGCCCCGGCATGGTTTCCATCACAGCCACTCTCTGTTCCGCTGCCACAATCCGAGACAATGAGAACAATCGGAACAATTATTTTCAGAGACCAAAACAGTAGAAGTTAACTCATTAATAAGCTGGTGGTTATAACTCAAGACAAGGCTGTATTTGTTTGAGTCATTTCATTGAACTTCCATTCGAAGAATTTTGGCCTTTTATTTTGCAAGTTGGACCCCATAAAAATCCATCCCATCCAGCAGGACTTAGTATGCGCAGTTACGGTTACAGCGAAACACACCAGCATTTCAGATTTATTTGATATTTGTTGCTGGAAAAAAAACAAAACAAACCCAAAACAAACAAAAAAGACCATGGACTCCTTGATCTCCTGTTCTGACACCAAATCCTTTCACTGGATCCTCCTCCTCCTCCTCCTCCCTTTGCTATCATATCCAGTTCAAGGCTCTCGTTTCAGCAATCCAGATTCCCCTTCCTGTTACAAGCCCACCTTGGTCTCCCATTTTATCTCCCCTCCCACCTTCACTCCGGTGAACCCAGTTGCTTTCTCACCCACACTTGGCACAAACAATGCCAACTGTCTTCATCCAAGCAAACGACTAGCAGGATGTAAGGACGCTGCTGTTCAAGCCTTCTCATAAAACCACTGCTGGGGGGACCTAGTAATGAATCCCCCCAGCTGAAATACCACAGCACGCTGGAAATGCCCAGACTGCAGCTCTGCTGAGGAATACAGATCTGTTTTGCTCAAGTGGTTTCAAAACAAAACAGAATACAAGTAATCTTAAATCATAGCCAACAGGACTCATCCTTAATGACCAATTTAGCTACAATCATTTCCTGGGACCCAACCACTATACTCAGCTATAAGGGAACAGAAGAACCTGGAGAACTTTTCCCCTTCCCCGTGCATTGGTGCGATGAACGCTGCCTCCTGCAGTGGTGAAGGTAAAAGAGCTGATCATGAAGAGCCCAGCACTATCTGCTGTTTCTGGTCCACCCGGAAACAACCCCAGTCCCACCTCTATTTTGGTCCCCAGCAATGGCTGAGCAGACCTCCTCTCCCCTGCCATCATCCCTGCCACTTCTGTCAGCCACCAGGCACCTCTCAGCTGATTCAACTCACAAGCTCAGGAAAAGCAGCAGGCTGTTCCGGGGGGGCTAGCATACTGGATGAGCTCAGAGAAGGTTCGACAACATTGGCACTGTGAAGGGGCGGCAGTATCCTGCGACCTGGAGGCCAGGTAGAGGGGAGCTTCCCCCTTTCCCGCCAGCGAGCTGTTGGATCAGATGGGCTCTCACGGACGCCCCAGCCAGGGCTGCTCCAGTCGGGAAGGTGGCAAGGTTTTCTTCTGCAGGAGAATCAGCTAGCGTGGGGCTGAAGCCAACAGCTTGGTGAGAACGTGTAAAGTGATGTTTATGTTTACTTGCACTGTTGATAAGTGCAAATATTAGAGGCTGATAGGCAAAGCCTAATCTGATATATATGATGTTTCTGTTGCAGGTTTGTGAGGCGGAGATACCTTAGATTCATTGCTGCTGTGGGATTAGTCTCTCCATTGTTGTCTCTGTGAGGAGGAGAGATGGTCTGAAAGATCCATTGCAGGTGTGAATCAAACATGCCTGTTTCTGTTTTGTTCTATCTTAAAACTATCACAGTATGTGTTTTGGGTATGGCTCATGTATTGTTTACACTAAAGGCATATTTTACTAAAATTTGGAACACTGAGCAGTAATACCCATTACCTCTGCCAGGCTTCATCTTCTACATTTCTTGGACTTTTGCCCTTGCCAGCCATGAGCTTTCATTACAGCTTGCCATAACTGGGGCCACTCTTCTAGCATTAATTAGAAAGGTGCAAGCTGCTAGTTACTTTAAACATGTAGGAATAGTTCTACCATCATGGTCCAGCCTACTGTCAGGCTTGTTGCTATAGGCTATAAAAAATACAAGTGGAACCATGTTTTAAGTAAGAAAATCCTATCAAATATTCATCACTAAGAATTTACACAAAATTAAAAGAGATCTTATCTCCTGCCCACACAGGACTCATGTCACAGGGGCGGGAAAGAGGGCGACTTTATGGGGGAAATGTTGCTATTGATGTATATATGCAATGCCTCTGAAAAGAAACCCTTTGTCCCCCCCCTCCCCCCCTTCACGGCTCATGCCGATACAATACTCCTTTGTTCTTGCACAAAGGGTTCTCCCACACCACAGAGGCCCCTTGGAACAAAGGTTCTCCCTGGCATACCAGGGATGAAGGCAGAATCCCAAAGTGGCTGCGTCAGCTGACATAAACATCCTGTAAAAAAACCTTCCCAAGAAACACCAGCAGTTATTTGGATGGCTCTCCAAGTTACTTGCTTACTCTGTTACAGAGCTCGGGGGGAGCCCAGCCAGGATCATGCCTTACTGTATTGTACCAAAAAAAAAGCAAACAAAAACCCAACCAACCAACCACACACTTTGGGCAAAAGACCATAATTTCCAGTGAACGTGCACTGTGGAACTTAACTGTACACAGATCTGCATCATTTCAACAATGACGACATAGTAGTAAAAGAACATCCTGTTTATGTCATAGACCAGAATGTTATATAGGCTATATTTTATCCATGTAGAATAAGTTATATGAGTAAAAAGTGCCAGTAAGCATATAATTATGTTTAAATAGGAAAGGACTATACCACCAAAACTATTTTGACAAAACGTTACCAAAATGCTGAACAGATATAAATTTGAGGTCAGAACTAGTTTGTGTAGTTACTTGATACTGCAACCAATTCAGAAAGAGAGTTGAAAACACTCCTCAATTTTCCGCTCTGCAGGTTTTTTCAACTTAGGGGTATCACTCTTTCACAACAGTCAAAATTCCTGCAGGTTCAGCCCTCAGCCTGGCATATTCATCCCAAGAGGTAAAGCAATCGGTGCTTCACTACCCGAGCAGAGATGTTACTCCAGTGTGTCAAGAATCCATCAACTTTATATCTGGATTAAGTGTATAACATGGAAGTTGAGCAAGGGAGTCCATTATGTGGTCTGCAGAAACATGGGAACTTAAGGGAACTGTATCTTCTATTTCTGATTTATTTCCATTAAACATGTGTCAGCTGGGTTATTTTAGTACTTTGAGTACTGTGTTCCATAAGACATGTCCTTCCAAAGAGAAGAGCAAGACCTATGATTAGTTCTACTGAACTGCACTTTATGAAAGAGTTATTAATGGAACTAAACTGATTTTGCACAAAGAAATTTGATACAAAAAATAAGTTAAATGTACATATGCGTGTGCATATACGTGTTTGTGTAGATACAGATGGATGAGATTAATTTTTTTTTTATTTACATAGTGGGTGAACTTACAAGGAAAGTTTTGTTATACGCACACTTTATGAAATTATTTTATTTTAAAAGTTGTAGAGATGAACGTGTAAGACACTTCTGAATTTAGCAGAAGATGCGTGTGCTTTGCCTAGGTTGTGACAGATGCGTCTTATTACACGAGGCTTAATACCAAGAACCTTAACACCTGATACCCCTGGTTTCACAGTATCCTGCAGTTACCCCTCTTGCACAGGAAAACCCCCATGCTTTAGTGAGTTGTGCAGAGAAGAAGGTTGCTCATTCCAGGGAATCACAATGCACTGTACCGGCAGCTGGAGGGTGAGCAGCACTTGAGCGAAACATGTTCTCAGCTCAGGCTGATTGTTATGGTTAGCACTAAACTATTTTTAAAAGTAGCAGTATAATCTAAATATTTATCACCAATATTTAACCTGGACACTGTGCAGATCCCGAATGTGAAGAGGGTATTAAGCACACGTCCATTTAGCACCAGACAGGAACTCTGTCCGTTTGAGAACTGTGCGCAGCTCTCTTGAGAGCACTCAGATTAATTGGCAGTTAAGTGAGAAGCGTACAGGGTGGAGAGATTGCTGATCTCACCTTTTCTCAGACACCTTCGCCCCTTCTTGTTTCTGAAGCACTTCAACAGATAACATTATTAAGTCGATCAGATAGTATGCATGGTTCCTACTAACAGGACCGATGCTGCAGTTTACCAGCACTTCCCTCTGACAAAACCACAGCTCCAGTTTCAGAGCTTGCTGTTCTGGTATCTACGCAGTGAACACATTTTGAAAGTATGATTCATAAAAAATGTATTCCTTAGCACAAAATGGTACATGGTAAAAACGGGTATTTTGTAAAAGGTTCTACCAAAGTTTACAGGAAAGAAAAAAAAAAAAAAAAAAAGGCAAGTGACTGGCAATTTGGTCTTCAGCAGAAAAGGAAGTCCAGAAGACACTGAATATGCAAAGGGCTCTAGATTTTGGAAGCCTGCACCTGTTGCAGGCACCTGTTAATGACACATTTTACAGTGAAAAATGGTTCAGAGATACTGGATGCTACAAATGACATAAAGGAAAAGTATAATAAAGGGGAAAAAAGAAAGAAAAAGGTTAGAAATTAGAAGAGCAACACAGAATCAAGCAAAGGAGACACCAAGTGTGTGATTGGAAATAATACTGTTAGCTCCACATATGGTCAGAGAGCACCCTTATAAGCATTAGAGACATCTGTATGGGAGGGCAGAAAGACCATCTGGCTGGCACTAAGTAAGAGGAACATACTGTCCAGAGAGAAACACTGGTCTTTAATCTGGCAGCTGTGATTGCGGTGGGGGCACCCAGAATCTCTGCTGACTGTCAACATGCACCCAGTTCACTTCCAGTTACAGTACACAGAAAAAATAAACACCAAATCACAGTAGAAATA